CTTCTTCTCCTTCTTCTTCATCATCGTCTTTCCATTGTTGCTCAAAGGTTCCAAGCGCACAGTACACAATCTTTTCGATTGCTTCTCAAAATCTATTTTCATATGTCATTGTTTGCATTTCTTTATTAACAAAGTCAACTTAAAATTCAGGTAATAAAACAGTCTGAAAATAAAACCAATATTTACTTGTGCAGGTGCGAGTTTTGTATCATCATTATTCATGCCGGCAATTTTCTCGTGTATTCCAATATTTCAAAATAGTTTTTAAATATTCTTGCTACTAAATTTCCTCTTGTTTTATGAGTTCTTGAGTAAGTTTCGTAAAAAATAGTAATATTTATTTTAAAAAAAGGTTTTTTACACGTAGAAGGTGGTATAAATGGGCCTTTCTGTACAGTTCCTATTCAATTAAGCCCATATCGTACTTTATTTCTGTAAATCATAATAAATATAATCTACCGAAGTCATTACCGCCTTCATATTTCCTTCTTCGCTTAATTATTTTCATTTCCAGACCCCACCAATGCAAACATCAGTCAAAACGAGAATTTTATGAAATTTTGAAAATTTTAGACCCCCAATTCTAAAACTATTGCAGCTGCACATTTTGCGCGCGGTTTCAAACTTTCTTTTTTTTCTCATTTTCTCCTACTTTAGTTCAATTTTTAAAACATGAATTATTCTTCATAGATACAAATCTTTCAAACCGCCTTAAAAACTTTTAATATTTCAGTGTTTATTGCCGACTAAAAAAGCTGGCTTTCTAACACCTTTAATTGCACATTGTTTACTCAAGACTATTTCCAATATTCGTAAAGTTAGCAAATTTAATCAATGAATATCTAAAGCTGTTATATTTTACGTTTACCTTATCTTAAAAATCTTAAATTCTTCATCTATTTCAGAACTCCATTCGTCATAACTTATCCCTGAACAAATGTTTTGTAAAAGTAGCACGCAAAAAGGACGAGCCTGGTAAAGGTGGTTTCTGGAAAATAGATCCACAATACGCGGACATGTTTGTCGACGGTGTCTTCAAACGACGGCGAGGAGTAAACACACAGAAAAATGCCAAAAAGAGTTTTAAAAAGAGTTCTAAGAAATCTGTTGATGCCGAAAGGAAGCGGTTGGCAAAGCGACAAAGCGATGAGCCAAAAAGCAAACGAGCAAAAATAAATTCTTTAAGAGTTTCCGATCCTTCAGAGCTGTTTGGAGATTATTCCGAAGAGGAAATACCGCCGTTTTCAGGCGGTTTAAAGGGGAAATTTAGCTGGAATTCCGTTTTGAAGACTAATGAGTTGGACGAGAGTATTCGTGAGCTCGCTGATGCTCATGGGATTACTTTAGACAGCCCTTCGCACGTTACAGGGGGGTACAATCCAAATACATTGAGCCCACCCCCCTCGATAGACAGTCACGAAGAACATTTTAAAGCGGATCCAGATTTAGACCTGACTATACAAGGAATCGCTATTCATCCATCAAGGGACCATTTAGCCACACCCTCCCCTACAGCGTTAACAGATGCAACTCAATCTTTCTTCAAATACATGCCACCCTCCCCTCCCAGGCTGTACGACGATGACCACCCCTGGGCAGACACGTGCTTTGATTTTACAGATGAAAACAATAACATCTTGGATGCCGTTTGGTGAGTTGATATTCATTACTCTCATTACCAGTCGTCCTCGTCACACAGGATACCCACGCAGACAAGATTTCTAAAAATAAGGCTTTTTGAAATTTCTATCCATTCTTAACGCATTTTAAAAATATAAACATACAAATATATTTAAAATCTTAGAATAAATAGATATGTAAAGTTTGAACAGAATTTTTATAAGCATTTATTTCCAATAATGCAATGCATATGTATCCAACTTCTTATTCAGGGCCGGGTTGTTCAAAGCTGGATTAGCGCTAATCCAGGATCATGTGATATTGGGCATGCGCAGAAAGAAGGATTATTTGCTCATGAAAAAATAGTTGTGAAAAGTTCGAATTTGTCAGCAAAATTGTTACTCAAAGTGTGAACCCTGTGACAAATTTACTGATTTTCATTCTCGGTTTTTCCTTCGTTTCCCACTTTTTTATTTCCCATTTTTCTTTTCATATCTATTTTATTCTATTTTGTTTCATTTTATTTTATTTTTTCACTTTAAATCTACTGTATAATCATCATGAACCGAATCATTGTAATCAATTTGAATAACTATTGATTTTGGACGACTAGCCTCTCTCCTTCATGTGAAAACGCGTTTATGTTTTCACGTAAACACGAGGCTAGTCAGTTCAGAACTATACTTATTCAAATTGGTCRGCATATTTTGATTCGGTGTATACTTATGTGAGAAAATCCTCATAATTTTGTCTAATTTTGATGTAATTCTCCTTTCGCCATATCACAACTACTTGAAGCCTCTTCGAATAGTCCCCTTCACAGTTCCCTGCGCCATCTTGAAAGGTAGCCGTGCCTTTGCATCGAAGTGAGACGAACGGTGAGCTTGCAATGATAGAGATGTGAATAATTGTCCAAGGCGTTAAAAAAAGGTTTCTATCATTGCAAACTCACCGTTTGTCTCGCTTCGATGCAAAAGCACGGCTACCTTTCAAGATGGCGCAGGGAACTGTGAAGGGGACTATTGTCTTTGAGTCACGAGATAGTGGTGTTAACTTAGGCAAACAAATGGAACTACGAAATGGATTCCGATACTAAGTACTATTGGTAGTAAGAGTTTTAATATGTGATAAGGGAAACGGAGAAATTTATGTTAAATATAAGTAATTTATATTTATATTTTGTAAAGAATATTTTTGAACTGGAGAAAGGATATCAAGATTACTGAGCTGCAGAGGTTCCAGTTGTCCGAGATAAAAGGTTTCAAATCAGAACAGAAAGCGGGTTATAGACAATTCCGTTTTTTCATCTTAAGTAGATTAATAAAAAACCTCTTAAAGATATCAGTTTTACTCTTGCTCTGCATGGGTCTTATTTATTGAGAACCCGATAAGATATCGATTAGATTACGATAAGATTTCGATCCCATTATCAAAGACATACGCAAGGGGTTCTTTTTCTGACACCGTTTCCGCCCGCATGACAGAAAATTCCTCTGAACAGTTAAGATTCATTTAGTCTAACGGTTTTATGAAACCCTAATTTTTTTTAGAGTTCGGTTTTCGTTGGTTTTAGAAATTGAATAATATAGCTGTTTGTTCCTCCAAAGGAACACTCGTTAAAGATTTTAAATTAAGGCTTAGAAATCAATTGGTTATCATTTTAAGAAAAAAATCTGCCAAAGGCAGACGATATTTTTATAAGAATATTTTGTGTCAAAAAATAACGCGTGAATTTATAATTATTAAGAAAGCTCTAGTATAAAACTGCAAGTTATGAATGTACATATCATAAATGATAGATATAATGCTATTGGTGGATGCACTGTGACGTCATCCATTGTTTATAATGCAAGCGAGAATATGATTGGTTTATTAAACAAAATTAATTGCAAAATCGATTGTGAGATTCTAGAAACATTTAACAGTGCAGTTACATTTTTACATGTATCCAACTCGTACTGTATTACCCATATAAGACCATAATTCCATTCGGTACGAGTTTTCATTGTAAAGCTCGTATACACTTATTTCAATAAAGTTAGTCACCTAAAAAGCTACAAAGCTGAGACCGACAGGGATTATGGATAGATACATTTTACATGTTTCAACCGCTTGATAACTGTTGATGGACTTGAGATCTTCTACCAGTTACAAGTTCACCTCCTGTGAGCATCCTCAACTGCTGCAGTTTGTGTCAAAAGCTTTACCCATGATTCTCAGCGATCACAGCTTTCTAGGTTTTTGATGACTAACTTTATTGAAATAAGTATATACAGCTTTTTCAAAAAAGGTTGGTGAAAATCCCATATCGGGGCGTTGTCACCTTTTGCTGATGGCCTTCACATCGCCCGTAGTGCATTTCGGGCTTCTTATTCCACACACAACAAAACCTTCATCAACCTTTTTAAGAGGGCGTCTCTGTAACAGCGTGCCACTCGATCTGGGCTCGAAAAATAGATTTCTTTTATATTCCTA